CATTAAAGGCTAACATTTAGGCCCCTGTTTTCCTGAATCTCTGTGGCTGTCATTCTAGGCTATAGCCAAAGAATAAGACTCACTGACTCTGCCCCTTCCTGTCTATTCTGCTCAGTATAGAGCCCACCCGCAGCATCTTACCTCTTTGATCTTGCCAGAGACATTTTCCCACCATCCATGAAACAATTACCCAAGCAGTGGCTCAGCTCTGGATCACCATAAGACAGCAGCCAGCCAGAAGCCTGGACAGCCTTGAACCTTGTGAATAGATGTGCCAGACATCTGTCAAAATTCTCCAGTGAGGTCAAATTAGTGGGGGTAGGGGGAGTTTTCTTTGAATGAAAGAATACCATGGTTGCTGTAGAACACAGAGTTCTTTTGACTTGGAGTTTAATGAGCCTCCACTTCAATAGGACCTACGTGTCCTGAAAGATAACGGCAAATATGGAAAGACACCATTTACCTTGGCTGACTGCCTTCTGCATAGGCTGCAGATTGGTAGCAAGATCTAGATCACAGTGATTCACCAAGATAACAACATGTCTGTTTATTACCTAGAGTACTATACCCTACTCAGAAAGATAATTCTCTGGATATTAACAGAGCATGAACCATGAGAGAATCTGTGCTTAACTTCAAAGAAGAATGAAGTTATGACTGACTGCAGAAGAAGAAAGTTCTCCATAAACCTGAGCACCATTTCTGCATAAAACTTACAGTATAAAGTCTTTGACTTAACAGTAGACTTAACAGTATTAGGAAAGTGAACTGGAATTCAGAAAAAAAATCAAGTAATTAGTGGAAAGAAAGATACACGTGTAAGAGGCCTCAGATGACTAAAGTAAAATAATCTCTTCATGAACATCTATCTTGATGCATTGTGAGATAGCTCTTGAGTTACTGTGTAATTATCAAGTCGAGCAAATAAAGAGACACATGGTCAATTCATGAATACCCTTTGGTTTAGAAATAACCACTAGTTTTTGTGAAGGAATTATAGAGAAGACTGATTCCTTGCTAGATTCGTAACACAGCTATCTATTCACCTTAAATACCTTCCAAGTGTTCTATACTTTATTTTTTTTACCAAGAAAGACAAGACATAAATAAGGATCGATCACAACAGAAAAGACCAATTTCAATTTCTGATCCCTATATATATAATATAGGGAAGGAATGTTTTAATTTGAACGTTACATTAGAAGTAGAAAAAGCATTACCCTAAAGCAAATGCAGCTATTACAGGCTAAACTATAATAAAAATAATATCAGTTTATTTTTCCTGAAATATGGTATTAAGCCCCTGTATATGCTGGACCTGATCTGCTTGAGATTCTGCAAGACATTATACAACTTTTGAGATTCTATTTGCTCTCCCCTTTCAAATGTTCTACATCTTTTAGCAACAACCAAGTATTTCCCAAATATTTTACTCCATGAAAAGGTATAAATAGGATCAGGACTAAAATAATTAGTAATAACTTATGAGTTCATTTGAGAACTGACTACAATATACCACTATTCTAAGGCCAGGCACACAGTTCAGTGCTAGAGCTCTTGCTTGCATGTGTAAGACCCTAAGTTAAACCTCTGGCAACACAGGCACCCCCGCCACAAAACCAAGTCAACATTTAGAACTTCTTCAAATTATTGATAGTAGTTTGGAGCAAAGTCCTGGAATTTTTAATAGTTCGGGATATAGTTGGAAATAGTGCATTGTTCTGAACAGATGCCTGGTAAAGTGCTAAAAATCTCTGGAACAAATGTCCTGAAAAGAATCAGAAGTTTGGAGTCAGAAGCTAGAAACTGTTAAGTAAAGGTTACCTGGGTAAAAACACCTATCATTATCCTTGTTATACTTATATATTCCTTTATTATTAATAACCGGTTACCATTTAACCCTTAGAGATTGCACCCAATGCGGTTGCAGTCTTCATCCCAAACTAAAGTGACACACTTCCTGGAGAAATGGTGAGGAGGCTGTATATGTATCTCAATCTCAAAGCAGTCTGAAAAAGCATCCTGTTATCTGTTGGAAAACAAAGGGACTAGTGGATAAGTAATTTTTTAATTTAAATATGCTGAGGCAGACTAGAAAGATAGTACAGGGATTAAGACACTTGCCTTACATCCCAGTGACCTTGATTTGAATCCTTGGTACCAAGAGTGACCCCTGAGCACAGATCCAGGAGTGAGTCTTAAGTACACCTGGGTGTGGTCCAAAAAGAAAAAAGAAAAGAAAAAGGAAAAAGAAAATATGCTGCACTTACTAAATCTGAACATTTGCCCACACTTCTTTTTGGGAGCTGAACCAAAGGATGATTAAGACAGGGAGATAAGCAGCATAAGCAGAGGGATCAAGGGAATGAAGAGTCATGAGGTTCCACTTTGAATCCTGGCTCTATCCAAGAATTACCATGTGACAACCAACAAACTACTTCTCAGCAAGGTCTCCTGCTCTGAAAGACTGCATTCTTTTCCCTCTTCAGCACCCTGTGATTCATGTACAAAAGGAGAAAGAAGAGAACATATAAGTTATCACCAAAGGCTAATGGGAGTTCTAAGATCCTCAGACTGGACACCAGGTAAATACCAGTATTTCTCATTTTCAATAAAATTGTCACTGTCTTCCCATTGTTCATCAATTTGCTCTAACAGGCCCAGTAATGTCTCCATTGTGAGACTTTTTGTTACTGTTTTTGGCATATTGAATACGTCAAGGGTAGCTTGCCAGGCTTTGCCGTGAGGGCGAGATACTCTCGATAGCTTGCCGGGCTCTCCAAAAGGGGCGGAGGAATTGAACTTGGGTCAGCCATGTGCAAGGCAAAGGCCCTACCCACTGTGCTACCTCTCCAGCCCTTCAATAAAACAACTTAGTATTATTTCTGATACTGAGAACCAATAAAGGACAGTAACATGATTTTACAGAGCCCATGTTTTCACAATTAAATCAAGTTGAGGACATCATAGGCTAGATGGCAATTGCCTAGTGGAAAAGTATAAACTCAAAACCCAATTCCAACAAGCATCTTAATATCCCCCCCAGATAATCATGGAGTGGGTTAAGAAAAGATAGATGAGAAGTAACAGGTAGGGATCAAGTGCCTCAAGATCATCAGTGGTGAAGAGGTGTCAAAGAGGATTATACAAGTAAACATGTGGTATACGTATATATGTACACATATAAACTACAGAGACAACTGTACTACAAGCATAAAATCTAAACTGCAGCAACTAAACTTGAAAATGTGCCTGCCGAGAAAAAAGACTGGGGTTGGGCAGATCTGTGGACATTGGTGGGAGAAAGTCGACACTGGTGGTGAGATTGGTATCCCTAAGAATCAACTATGAATAACTATGTAAATCACAATATCTAAATAATTAATACAAAAATCGTAAGATTATCTCTAAGTTAGGAGATTTTAAGGAACTAGAAGCATTCTTTAAAGTAGAGGAAACAGGCAATAACAATAGGGAATATATTGCCTATACAATAGCCAGAATGATGAGTTCATAACTAAATACTATTTTGGCCTCATGCTTATGAAGTTTTCAATTCATTATAATGAAGGGTAATTTTTTCTCTAAAGACAATTCAAATTTAGAATGGATAAGTCAGTGAGTTGCAAGATTTTCTTGCTAACATATTTTAGTATCAGTGTTTGCTGGAATACACCCATCCCCTGAGGTCCAACATATCTAAGAATTAGTAGTATTCCAGTACAATGACAATAGACATCCAAAATTAATCACAGGCCAGCAGCAAAGTTCCTTGTATTTAACATGTGCATAGTTTACTGCTGCAACTAAGAAACAACTACAGCAAAACTAATCAGATACATATCATATGCTTAGAAGTTTGAGGCGCTTGCACACAAATAAGTGACAACTTCACCATTTATCCAAGGAAAGCTCTATTCTTAGACAAATCAGTGACAACTTCACCACATCATGTACCTATATTCCCAAACCTCATCACTAAGCAAGGGGATAGCTCTGACCTGTGATAAATGATAAAACTGTTTCAAGTTCCACACTATTGTAGATTCCCAAAAACCATCTCTGTTCAAAAGACAATCTGCATATTAAACTCATAAAAACAGAGGTACAGTCAACAGATTATTTTTTTTGTTTAATTTAGAAACAGATAAGTAAGAATGAAGGGGCTGAAGCAATAGCACAGCGGGTAGGGCATTTGCCTTGCACATGATCGACGCAGCTTTAATCCCTGGCATCCCACATGTTTCCCTCAGCACCACCAGGACTAATTCCCGAGTGCAGAGCCAGGAGTAACCCCTGAGCATCACCAGTGTGACCTCAAAAAGCAAAAAAAAGAATGAAGAAACAGGGAATATTTTGAATTAATACCCTTGGAGTACTAGACAATATATGGAATCATTTTCTGGCAATTCCAAAATGAAACTTTAAAGTTATGTAAATGTGGTGGGAAATGGGCACCGGTGGAGGGATGGGTATTTTATCATTGTATGGTTGAAACCCAAGCACAAAAATGTGTAAGTCTACAACTGTACCTCATGATGTCTCACTATTAAAAAAATTTTTAATAAAAAAATAAAGTTATGTAAAGGCCAGAAATATTTACATATATATGATCTATGTGTAGATATAGATCATGTATATACTACATATTGCATAGGATATATAGAGATAAAAATTGATACAGATATTTTAATAGATATATATGTTAATGTATGGCAGGGCACTAGGTACATAGGAGAACTAAGGGGAAGAGGTGGTTAGCATTTTATGTGAATGAGTGAAAGGGAATTTTTCCTGGACTCTGGTAGCTAAAACAAAAGGAAGAAACTTTCAGAGAAAGAATAGTCCACTCACATCAACATGGCTGTAAGCAGTATACGGTTCCTTCCTATTGGAGGATTGTGCAGCTGTCAAATCACCAAAACTGAGAGCCCCACGTGCACTTGATTTCCAAGCTCTCCCACCCTCAGTTTCATTTACAACCTAAAGAACTCACTTACCTCTTCCTCCAGTTTCACCACCTTGGCCTGTGCATTGCTCAGGGCCTGGTCTCGAATTTCGATGTGTCGCCTTTGGTCCTCATTGGTCGAACGAGCAGTGGCCAGCTCTGCTTCAAGCTTTTCCTTCTCTCTCTGGCTTTCTTTATCTGTAAGAACACAGATTATTAATGCTGCCATTTTTATGCTGGCCCCAAACCTTACCTGAACAAATGAATGATAATACCCTTTACTAAACACTCCAGTGTTGGAATACACAACTAAGTAAACCAAGAGAGCCAAGGGCTAGATTCAATCCTTGGCTCCTTGGCTCTACCACTTTCTTGTCATTTAAATTTAGAAGTCACAATTGCTGTACAGAAGCCATAAGAAATTAGATGAGAAATATGTTATGAGAATTGTTACACTAAGAACACACACCCTTACCAGAACTGCAGGTAGGCTTGGCCTTCAATTTAACATCTCCAAACAGCCCTGTATGGCAAAAGGGCAATTGCAAGAAAGAGAACAAGCAACAGAGCACATGTCTAGCATATGCAGGGCCCTGAATTCATTCAGTAAGCTCCATTGCACGACTCTTACCTTCAAATCTCTGGTATAGCACTGGTGGCTACCAAGAACTGCCAGTGTGGCTCTGGTACCCACTTCTCCAAGCATCAACCCTGTATCACACATTACTGAATTGTAGTATCCTTATTATTGACCTTCAACCCCCTTCCCTAGCACTATTGGGTAATGAGAGAGAGAGCAAGAGGGAGAGGGAGAGGGAGGAAGGAGAGGTGTCTGCCATAGAGGCAGGCTGGGAGGAGGAGTTGGGGGAACTGGGAGGAAAACTGGCGACACTGGTGTTGCAAAGTTACACTGGTGGAGGGATGGATGTTGGAACACTGTATGACTGAAACCCATGGTGATTCAATTAAAAAAAACTGTTTTACATAGAGTATGTGGTAAAACTGGAACTTATGCCATGCCTCTCTTCCGGGAAGGTAGGGTATAGTAAGAGTACTAGAAAGAGGAGGATGGTCTATCAGGAATACATCAGGATCAGAGCAATAGAGTTAGCCAACTTACTTGCAAAACATCTTTAGAATCACTTTTTCTGATGGTTGATCAGAGTTAAGCATACTCAGAGTTTTAAAATTTAAAATAAATTTTAAGGCAATCTAAGGTGAAGCTGTAACTTAGTGATAAAGCACATGCATCTGATGTGTGAAAACCTAGATTCAAATCTGCACCAGTAATCTGATATGTTTGTATGCTTATATGCACACACATACACACATATAGACACATGGGTGCTAATAGAATCTATCTTGAGTTTAGGAAGAGCTAAGTGGACAAATAGTGGTCTCTTGGATTTTATAAATATCTCAGCTAAGCAGTACTTATATAGTAAGCACTCAAAATACATCTATAGAAAGGCAGAGGAAGAAAACTTAAAAGTATGAGTCTGTTACCAACTTTATAATTTTTAGCAGTGGAGGACTGGTACCAAATGTAAGCATTTTGAGTGAGTTAACACACAGGCTTTATACTGGTACACAGGTCTTATACTGTGTTTTTTTTTGCGCTTTTTGGGTCACACCTGGCGATGCACAGGGGTTACTCCTGGCTTTGCACTCAGGAATCACTCCTGGCAGTGCTCCGGAGACCATATGGGATGCTGGGAATCGAACCCAGGTTGGCTGGGTGCAAGACAAACGCCTGACCCGCTATACAATCGCTCCAGCCCCAGGTTTTATACTGTTAACACAGGTTTTTACACAGGTCTCTATACTATTCTTACCCCAATCTGCCCTCTTATAATGGCTATATTTTGTTTCATTTCTTAGCCACTGAGAAGACTGTGAGTTCAACTAAAGTGATATCACTAAATAAAAATGAGGTAATTCTCATTTTAATGTTCACTTAAGGATTCCATTTCTTGGTCCTAGTTTTAGGTGTCCATATTTATTTGAAGGATTCTTGAAGAAGCCAACCTAATTAGTTCACTTGTTATCCAATTCAAAAGCAAAGGCATACAATAAAAAGCAAATATATAAAGCATCGGGATTATTCATCAAGGAAACAAATTGTAGAATAAATGAAAGAACAGTACAGTGTATAAAGAAACTGATGAATTGTAGAAGGGTACAGTGTATCCAGGTCTTCAAAATAAAAATTTTAGGTGAAAACAGTTCATCATAGGACTCTCTCACTTCTATGAGCTTTACCTCCAGGAAGTCAACCTGGTTCTGAAAGTAAATATCAGGGGGAAATTGCCCCTTGTGTTTCTGACAGGAAGAGGATAAACTATTTTTTAATATGTAAATGCTTACACTGCAATTTGTATTAATCAAACCACACTGAATTTTGAGTCACCAATAGTGCGGTAGCGCACAGCAATGTGAACGTGTTCTAATCTACCAGAGAATTCTGTTCTTTTAAAAGTCTGTGTTCAACACAAACTATCTTAGCAGAACTTAACCTATTGGGGAACAAGTTATCATACTTTATCTGACCTGGAGGAAGGGTAATGCAGAAATCTAGTCCTCTGTATCACAGAAAGGGTTAAGAAAACAAACCCTGAAAAGTACTTGCAATGTTAATAGTACAAGAGCACGGGATCATTAAAAGAGAGAATTACTCATAGACCTACCTATGAGTATTTCACTTCCCCCCACACTTTGCCAACATATTACTAAAGGCCCACCTACAGAAGTTCCTTTAAGTCCAGGGATGTAGCTTAGTGGTAGAGCACTTGCCCTATATACATATGTACCTGATTCTATCACATGTTCTCCTGGGTACCACCAGATGTAATTCTCAAGCAATAAGCCACAAGTAGTTTCTGAGTATCATAAGATGTGGCCCCAAAACAAAGTTAGAAAACAGTGTAATTTCTTGTACCCAGCACATCACGTCTAATTTCCAACTACAAGAAAATAATGGCAAAGCAAGCCAAAGGCCAAAAGCAGTTTGAAATAATACAAAACCAGACCCAAATATGAAAAGGAGATTAGAAATAAAAGATGGAGAATTTGAATTTCTAACAACTTATTAATATAATAAGAGTCCTAATAGAAAAGGTAGACAACATGCAGGCACATGTAGTCAAAGCAGAAACAGAAATTCAAAAAAGAAATAAAAAGAAATGCTAGAGATCCAAGCAGAGTTTTGTCAAATACCATTTAATGTCGGAATATATTTTTTTGATCAAATGTGGTAAAGGAATTATTTAAATAAAAGAAATACTATTAAGGCAGATAAAACACCAAAAGAACTTACTACATACAGAGAATAATGATGTTACTGGTATGATTAAAGAGATAAAATATGGCTTTCATAATATGTTTTTTCTTCGCTAATTAGTAAATTCTGTGTTTCAAATGAGGTTGACTAACCTGATGAATAGAATTAGTAATTTTGTGTTTCTGAATAGAGATTGCATAGTTGTTTAGTAGTTTCTAAATGTAGGAATGTACAGATTGTACCTATGACCACAATAGATGAAATTATGATCCATGCTTTTCCAGGTTCCTCCCCTTTTTACTACCACAGATCTCTCCCCAGAAACTCAAATGAACCATTTTGATTTGTTTTTTAGAGGTAGAATGTTCTTCCTCTAGAGACTCTGATACATAATTTGCAGAAGATATTTTGACAGATTTCCTTCACCCTCCAACTTGACCTATTTTGGAAAGAAATAGTACATTTATTTGTTAAATAGTTGCTGCCTATGAATTGTTCTAAAGTACTTATAACTTAATTCTCAGAGAAATCATACAAAAGCTGTTATTCTTTTTTTTTTCATTTTGCATGCAAGAAAATAAGAGAGTAAGGTGGTTTGAAGATATTACACAAGGTTCACACCTACTAAATAAATCATGGAGAAAATACTTAAGGCCAAGTTGAATTCAACTCTGTGCTGTACCAGACTGCCTTCTCCTATTGTGGGTATGGCTTCTCTAGGTTATCTGGAGTACATTGCCCAGAGAGTCTTCTCTTTTTTTCTGCTTTTTGGGTCACACCTGGCGATGCACAGGGGTTACTCCTGGCTTTGCACTCAGAAATTACTCCTGGCAGTGCTCGGGGGACCATATGGAATGCTGGGAATCAAACCCAGTTTGGCCGTGTGCAAGGCAAATGCCCTACCAGCTGTACTATCACTTCAGCTCCCACCGAGAGTCTTCTCTTAAGGGCTCAAAGGCTCCTGCCACATTCTCAACCATGCAGAGCCTTCCCATTCTCTAAAGACAAAAAATGAAGGAGCCATACTCTTCTCTGTTGACTATGTAGTATACTTTTCCCTTAATATGGTTGAAAAACTGAGCCAGGGATATAGCTCAGGGATAGGGCACTTGTGCAGGATCTCGGTTCGATTTCCAGTATACCAAAACCACAAGGTTTAAAAGAGCCTTTTGGCAGACTTCCAACCTGCTGCTAATATAATTTGATCAACTAAATAACATTTTATAAGCTAATCACAGAAGTTTGATCAACTAAATAACATTTTATAAGCTAATCACAGAAGTTTGATCAACTAAATCACATTGTATAAGCCAACAGCAGATCTCCTAGGAGTTCAGATAGTGTCTGAAATACCATCTCTGCACAGAAAGGAGTAGCACATCCGGGGCAAGAATCCATGCATTCTGTTCTGTTTTGCTTTGCTTTGCTTTGCTTTATCCTGGGAGAATGCCACCTTCTTTTTGCTAGTGAACTAACTTCCCGGGTAACTGTGACACTACAAAAGCAACTTCACAACAATTTATACTAGACACTGATGACACCAGAAAAACTACATTCCTTCTCCTAAGACACAGTGACAAAGAAACAGGAGGCTCAGGGAAACCAGGAAGAAAAAAAGTCACAGTTCTGAAGCCCCAGCACAACAGAGCAACCCAGGAAGGGAGGGGGAATATTCTAAGTGAAGATCAAACAAACTTGTAAAAGCTGACTGGTAACTGCATAGAATGACTTGAAAGGGTCATGAGGAGGCTTAAGTTGGGGCCTAACAAGTCCCCACCAAGTTCTACTCCAGCTGGGAGCCACTCTGTGGGAAGTTGGGGGTAGGGGATACAAACTGAGGGATCTGCAGAAGTAAGACAGTTCCATCTGCTCCCCACCACTATCCACAATTCACTCTCCCTAGGAACCCAATCCACTACATTGTTTTTATTGCTACTTTTACTGTGGCTATTGAAAATAATGAGGCTTTGTCTAGTGGGGTGGAGTTCATTAGGAATTGATAATGAAGAAGAATAATTTATAGTCGCAATTCTGGGAATATTTCAAGATAAAGGCACTGTAGCACTGTCCTCCCATTGCTCGCTGATTTGCACGAGCGGGCACCACTAACGTCTCCATTGTGAGACTCGTTACTGTCTTTGGCATATCGAATACGCCACAGGGAGTTTGCAGGGCGGGATACTCTCAGTGGCTTGCTGGGCTCTCTGAGACGGACAGAGGAATCGAACGCGGGTTGGCTGTGTGCAAGGCAAAGGCCCTACCCAATGTGCTATTGTTCCAGCCCAAGATAAAGGAAGCATGAAATTATGAACACACAGCTCTGTCCTCCCTCAAACTCTCCAAGTCCATAACCAATTGCTAGCTCAGTCTGGAGCTCTAGCTACACTTGCAACCAGGTATAATGATATGATATAATGCAGTGTGTTTAGATAAGAGAGCTCTATGTGCAGGTTATATACTACAAACACTAACATTCAGACCTGCAAGCTAATCTCACCTTCACCAGAGCCAGCACACTAAGCCTTCAACAGTAAATCCCTTCAACCCCGTATCAATAGGATCCTTCTTCAAAGTTGGGATTGCACAGGGGTTCTCTGATTTAATACAGAAAGGGTCATACTTATTCGACTAGATGTTGTCGCAAGGTGCATTCTTGCACTGCACAGTAAAAAACAGAATCTCCCAATTTTTTGCCTGAACAGGAAAAAGAATCCCTAAATGACATGCATTCTACCTTGACTGAATTCTAAAAAACAAAAATGGATTACCTTTCTAGGCAGTATGTGCCCACCCATACATTCATACTTCCTGGTGAAGCTTTCATACTTACTTTTTGCAAATAGCTGAGAGATGGTTTTTCTTGTATCTTCTGACCCCTCATATTCCTTCTCTGCAAGCTGCTTGTTGGCAGATTCTAGACGCTCTGTGGAATTTAGAGACAATCAAGTGGGCCCCAGTGCAAACCAAGCACATGCTGTTTGCCCTCTAAATACAAACCTTAGTTAAAAACAAGTCTATCCCTTCTCATTATACAAATATGGTTGACAACTGATACAGGTTTGAAAAAGTGGATTATAAAACACACTAATCCAAGGCAAAGCAGAAGGTGCTTGCTTTACTGTTTTCACCCCTTCTTGACAAAACCCAAGTGTAAAATTCTAAATTTCAAAGATTCTATCTCTGAATATATAGATTTTATTCACCAGCTTAAAAAGCATCAAAATTATTATAAATTCTTTAAACTCATGCCAAGATCAAACCTGCCAGGAGTCCATGAGAAGCATCTAGTTCAGTTTTTGTATTTAATAGATAACAGCCTAACCCAACGAAAGAAGGTGCTGAAGTCAAATATTTCTCATCATCTGCAGCAAGGTAAGGTAAAAATACAAGGAAGGAGTCCTAGAAACAATGATGGTCATCACTATTTCATACTTGAATGGTCGAAAGGCAGGTCTCTGCAAAAATCTCTAAAGAAAGAAAGATACACAGATTTTGGGGACAGGCAAGGTGCGTCCAGGAGTCCCAGGAAGTATACCAATGGATGAGCACATCAGCACATCCCCACTTTAATTAGGCTAGCTTTGGACCACATCTTTCTGCAGTCACAACTTATGTCCTGCAATTTACTGACCAGACTCACTGGGCTGAGCAAGCCTTTAGGGTCTCACTGTGTGGTCCACTGCCTTCCTCTTCAACATCCCAGCTGATCTTTCATAAACTAGAGGCTTACCTCTCAGATCCCTGTTAAAGTCATGCATCCTCCGTATCTCGCCCTCAAGCTTGTTTCTCATGGCTTTCTCCAGGGCTTCTCTTTTAGAAGATGACTTCACAAGGTTCTCATATGCCTCTGAGACACGCTGGATTTCAGTCTCCACCTGAATCGCAAAAAGGAATGATAGAAGCAAAAGGAGAACACTGTTGAGGAAAATGGTCTGAAAGCATAGCAGACAGATAAGAAAAAGTTTCGAAAGGATTGCTAAATTCAACCTCAGCACTGTAGCACTGTTGTTCCTTTGTTCATAGATTCTCTCAAGAGGGCACCAGTAACATCTCCATTGTGAGACTTGTTACTGTTTTGGGCATATCGAATACGCCATGGGGAGCTTGCCAGGCTCTGCTGTGAGGGCGGGATATTCTTGGTAGCTTGCTGGGCTCTCCGAGACAGTCAGAGGAATCAAATCTGGGTTGGTCGTGTGTGAGGCAAATGCCCTATCCAATGTGCTATTGCTCCAGCCCCAATTTTTTTTAATTCAACCTTAAGCTCAATAATTAACTTATCTAGCCATGGGTCATGAGATTCAAGAATGCCTCCGGTCAAAAAGAAAAGCTTTCCCCCTAGAGAGCTGATAAGAAAAAATGAATTAAGTGCAGTTATACATGGGTTTAGTATCTGAGTAAGAATTTACTGATTTTTTAAAAAATTTTTATTAGTGAAACAACATGAGGTACAATTGTGGACTTACAAGTTTTTGTGCTTGAGTTTCAGTTATACAATGATCGAATACCCATCCCTCCACCAGTGCCCATTCTCCACCACCAATGATCCCAGTATCCCTACCACCCCACCATCCTCCCCATCCCATCCCGCCTCTGTGGCAGGGCATTCCCTCTTGCTCTCTCTTTCCTTTTGGTTGCTGAGGTTTGCAAAAGAGGCACTGAGTGGCAATCATGTTCGGTCTATAGTCTACTTTCAGCATGCATCTACCATCCTGGGAGGAGGATCCTCCCAACACCCTGTACTTTGTGTTCCCTTCTCTATCTGAGATGCTTTTTCCCCTAATGTGCAGCTGGCCTTCAAGCCATGGAGTGAACCTCCTGGCACTTATCTCGACTATTTTTGGATGTTAGTCTACTATTTTGTTACTTTATATTCCCCAGATGAATGCAAACTTTCTATGTCTGTCCCTCTCTTTCTGACTCATTTCACTTAGCCTGATACTTTCCATGTAGTACCACTTGTATGTAAATGTCATGACTTCATATTTTCTAACAGCTGCATAGTACTCCATTGTGTAGATGTACCAAAGTTACTTTAACCAATCATCTGTTCTCGGGCACTTGGGTTTTTTCCAGATTTTGGCTATTGTGAACAGTGTAGCAATGAACATACAAGTGCAGATGACACTTCAACTATACTTTTTTGCCTCTCTGGGATATATTCCCAGGAGTGGTATTGCTGGGTCAAATGGGAGCTCAATTTCTAATTTTTTGAGGATTGTCCATACTGTTTTCCAAAAGGGCTGACCCAGTCAGCATTTCCACCAGCAATCAAGGAGGGTCCCTTTCTCACCACATCCACACCAACACCAGTTGCTTTTGTTCTTTTGGATGTGGGCCAGTCTTGAAGACAAGGTCGGCAAAACCCTCCACAATATTGAGGCTAACGGTATCTTCAAAGATGACACTTCACTGACCATCCAAGTGGAAAGAGAGATAAACAAATGGGACTATCTTAAATTAAGAAGCTTCTGCAGCTCAAAAGATACAGTGACCAGAATACAAAGACAATCTACAGAATGGGAAAGGATATTCACCCAAAACCCATTTGATAAGGGGTTGATATCAAGGATATGCAAAGCACTGGTTGAACTCCACAAGAAGAAAACATCCAACTCCATCAAAAAATGGGGTGATGAAATGAACAGAAACTTCTCAAAGAAGAAATCTGAATGGCTAAAAGGCACATTAGAAAATGCTCTACATCACTAATCATCAGGGAGATGCAGATCAAAACAACAATGAATTTTCTGATTTTTAAAAATATCAATAGTAGGGGCTGAGCAATAGCACAGCGGATAGGGCTTTTGCCTTGCATGCGGCCAATCCGGGTTCGATTCCCAGCATCCCGTATGGTCCCCTGAGCACCGCCAGGGGTAATTCCTGAGTGCAGAGCCAGGAGTAACCCCTATGCATCTCCAGGTATGACCCAAAAAGCCAAAAAAATAACAACAGTAAAAATTTCAGTAGTAACACATACATCATGAGGCTAATGTTGCAGTGTATCTCAAAAGAGCAATACTGAACCCTCCTGGGGTTTGCCGGGAAAGGTGTATGGAGTGACCCAGGGTGGGAGGTGGCTAGCAGCCTCAGATACAAATGAGAGCAGCTTTCTGATTATTCACTTAAAGAGGTAGACTACAGTGATAGTACAGTGGAAAGGGTGCTTGCCTTGCACATGACAGGGCCTACCAGGGTTCAATCTCTGCACCCCACATGGTCCTCCAAGCCGGGCAGGTGCGATGCCTGAAAAGAGCGAGGAGTAAGCCCTGAGCACTGTCTGATATAGCCCAAAACAAAAATTGAAAAATGACGGCTGACTGGGATGTGATGCTGAGTGAATATATACACACAAACACACACACACACACACACACACACACACACAAATACACATATGAGACAGTAGGCTAGGTAAGTTTAGGAAGCTCTACTCCAGAGCTTTCCACAATATTACTTCCACGTGCTCTGAGAGTAAAACACTTTTCCTTCATTTTAGCAGAGAAGATAAAACTGCTTTCAAGAGCAGGTTAGTTACAGAGACATGCCCCAAATCCCCAAATCTCAGTCTTTAGTCACATTTCAGTTGAATTTTAAAAACACGAAACCAAGGACCCAATATTTATAAGAACTCTTTAAGGCAATATAAATATGACTGAGAATATTATTAATGCCCTCAAGAAGCATTTAATCTAACCAGAGAAAGAACCTTGAGAGATGGCACATGCAGGTGAGGTACTTGTCTTGCATATAAGCAGCCCGGGTTCAATCCTCCACACCACCAACAGGAGTGATTCCTGAGCACAGCGCCAGGAGTCAGCCTTGAGCACAGTTGGGAAAGTCCCAAATACAAACAAACAAAAAAGAACATAAGGAAAGAAACACTATTAAGAAACAGAGTAGTAGTGCCGAATATGCAGAGGAGAGGGAAACAACTTCAGAGAGGACGTGGCATTTAGAGTCAAATCCTAAAAGCCTGGTCGTATTTCAATGAGCAGAGGTGAGCAGAAGGATATTCTATTCTGAGTGAGCAAATGCATTCCCAGAATGACCAGTAGTCTGGTTTGGCTGGACACTGGGATATGAAGAGGGAAGCCAGTGAGATCTGGCTACAAAGATAGATCATAAAAGGTCTTTCATGCCAGCATTTGGATTTTATCCCACAGTATATGTGGAAAACAGAATAGATTTTTATTTGCTTTTTTTGGGTCATACCCGGCAATGCTCTGGGGACCATTTGGGATGCTGGGAATCAAACTTGGGTCGGCCACGTGCAAAAAAAAAATACCCTCCCCAGCTGTACTATCGCTCCAGCCCCCAAAACCAGAATAGATTTTAGAAGAAAAATTCATGATCAGAGTTGTACTCCATAACACTCGTAAAAACCCTGTACAATTGGGGCGGAATTTGGAGGGATCAAAGATTCGAAAGTTTTACCCTTAACTTGAGCCCAAGTTAAGAATAAAGAAATTTCACCCCAGATCCTTTCTGTATCCAGTATATAACTTCACTGCACATATAATAACCAGTGATATGTGCATATTATTTGTATGAGACAAATAAACTCTGTGGCCTATTTAGCTATTTCCCCTATATATTTCAATTCTGCAATCCATTCTGCATTACCTCAGTTTTCCACCATCCTCCTTAAACAAAGCTCAGAGTACTTTATGTGGAAGACTGGGGGAAAGGTGGGTTATTAAACAACTCAAGTTTCACCTGGCTGCAGCTTCAAAATTATGTCTGATGCAGGACTGCCTACAAAACAAACAAACGAGACTTACACCACAGAAAAGAGCAGGCTCCAGTGTTTTGCTAGTTGCAGATGGCACCAAGATAGCAGCACAGGAGGTGAAAATTGGCAAATGGCATTTAAAGACAAGATCCACAAGGCCACAGTTGATAAAGCTTTTGCATGAAAGTCAGCTCAGAGCAGAGAAAGGAAACATTTTCCATTTGAAAAAACAGGCTTGGTGTTGATCTGCTCTGGGCAGCCTTTAGAGAAGGCTTTCCAGCACCCTGCAGAGTGCCACACCTTCAAGGCAGTCTCTTTACACAAGATTTTTAGAGTATCATTTTAATATCTTGTACCAGTCCTTTCCTGACCCACTAAGTAGATACTGTATCATCCAAAGGGGCAAGCTGCACATCCATCAACAGGGCTTCCAGGTAAAGAAATCACAAAAGAGCACAGCTGATGGTTTCATATAAATGATGGTGTGGGCGTGCAATAGAGAGTATATGGTGGGTCACCAGACTCACTGTGTCTTTATTTCCCTCACAAGTCTCAAATCTCATTTTTATAGCATCAGGTGGGACTTATCTTATTCTCTTTATTTTCTGTTCCTTTCTACCCAACCCTGCCAGGCTGGGGCTATAGCATAGCAGGTAGGGCGTTTGCCTTGCAAGCGGCCGATCCAGGCCGATTCCTCCACCCCTCTTGGAGAGCCCGGCAAGCTACCGAGAGTATCCCGCCCACACAGCAGAGCCTGGTAAGCTCCCTGTGGCATGTTCGATATGCCAAAAACAATAACAAGTCTCACAATGGAGACATTACTGGTGCCCACTCAAGCAAATCGATGAACAACAGGAAAACAGTGCTACAGTGCTTCTACCCAACACACTGCAGCATGGTTTCACTTCTTGCATTACTCAAGTTGTACTAACTGCATTTGTTTGAGGAATTTTACCCACACCGGGTAACAAACTACAGTACAAATCCATATACTTGGACCAGACAGATAATACAGTAGGTAAGATGACTCCTTGCATGCAGTTGACTTGGGTTTGATCCCCAGTACCCCAAATAGTCCCCCTAAGGATGACTAGGAGTGATCCTTGAACAGAGCCATGAAGAAGATCTGTGCACCACCAGTTGTGGCCCTCAAATCAAAACAAACGAAAAAAAAACCAACAGCAACAACAACAAACCAGGGTCCTTTGCAAAGAAGAGACTGCAAGATTTCTGGGTTTATCCTTCTGTTACTACATCGAAATGAGGCCAGGAACTACCCAGAAATGAATGTATGGAGTAATGTTAACTGATAAAGCTAGCCAAACTCTTTCTATTGAGTAGTACTGTAGCACTGACCTCCAATTGTTCATTGATTTGCTTGAGCAGGCACCAGTAATGTCTCCATTGTGAAACTACTTTTTCTGTTTTTAATATAAAACTAAAGGTAAAGGTAAAGGCCCTCCCGTTGTTCGTCGATTTGCTCGAGCGGGCCCAGTAACGGCTCCATTGGAGACTTTGTTGTTACTGTGTTTGGCATATCGAATAGGTCATGGGGAGCTTGCCAGGCTCTGCCGTGGGGGCAAGATACTCTGGGTAGCTTGCCGGGCTCTCCGAGAGGGGCGGAGGAATCGAACTCGGGTCGGCCATGTTGGCTGCGTGCAAGGCAAATGCTCTACCACTGTGCTATCGCTTTTCTATTGAGTATGATCAATAAAATGCATTGCTATACTGGGGAGGGAGAGTAGCAGTTAAAATCAAAGGTGGAATAAAATTTTAAATGGAGGCAAAGTCAGGTTAAAAACAGTCTACATTCAATCCCAACAACACCCATACAGAATTGGGAATATTACCTGGGAAAAAGTCCTAACTAGAAACTTATATTTTCAGATTATTCTCTTAAGTTTTTCTCCATTCTTCTCTCCTCATTCTTACTAAATTGTATATTTAAAATATATGAATATATAATTATCCCTAGTATTTTTAAAATTTATACCTTTAAGATGAGGCCAGAGTGATAATACAGGAGGTGGGGCATATGCCTTGCACATAGCCAACCAGGTTCAATCCCAGGCATCCCACTGGTTCCCCAAGCACCACCAGGAGTAATTCCTGAGTGAAGAGCCAGGAATAACCCCTGAATATCAATAGGTGTGACCCAAAATGCTAAAAAAGAAAATGCACAGTTCTTGAAAAAAATGATCAGGGGCCAGAGCGATAGTACAGGTAATGTGCTTGCTTTGCAAGTGGCCAACCTGGGTTCGATTCTCAACATCCTATATTATATGGTCCCCTGAGCACTGGGGTACTCTAGACTCCTGAATGCAGAGTCTAGAGTACACCCTGAGCATCACGGGGTGTAGCCTCCCCAAACAAACAAAATTTAACTACTTACTGACTTACAATTTTCTGAAATTTCAGGAGTTTAGTTTTATTGATCTATAACACGCACAAGTGTTACCACCTCCTCTATTCTTTTAAAGATCCCTCATGGCCAAAAAGGCATGAGGCCGCTAGGTATAGCTCAAAAATTTTAAAAAAAATCTCTCTAATATATAGCATATTAAAAATATAGTAAGGGAACTAATGAGCAAAGTCATCAAACTGGAGATATTGTCTATAGAACTGAGAATATACTGGAAGGGCTCTTGGGACACTAGTGGAGGGAGACTCTCAGGTGATGGGTGTAGTGTTGGGATGATGTATGCATGAAACATATAACTGACTGTATTATAAATCCTGGTATTACATACCTCAATAAAAACGGAAATGATGTTTAGATAAGTAAAAAATAACTTAGGACAGAATCAGCCCTCCTCTGCTATATAAATATTGCAGAAAAGCCCATTATCTCTCAGTCTCCTGTGAGTTCAAGGTCTGGGGCAGAATTTATGGCCTTGGGGAAATTATACATTTCCGCAGTTCCAGAGAGAGCCCAGGAATTCACAGCAATGTTTAAAATGTAGGATGGGGACAGTTAAAATGGAGCTGCTTGCAGCTGCTGGCAAAGGGGAAATGATGCTTTCTTTCTCATTCCCTCCTGTCACAGATGAAACCCTGACTGCAAATTTGGTGTTTACAAATTCTCAGCTACATTCAGCCCCTGAAATTTCCACTCTTGGGTGTCTTCTAAGGACAGAGTTGCAGAACAATACAAGGCAACCTCCCTCCACCTCCCCCACCTTCACCCTCACCTCCCAGAAAAGTTCATATTGTAAGAAGATCAAACCACAAAGGCTCCACAATGACAAAAGCTGCAAAGAGACTGCCAAAGGCATAGCCCTATTCACCAACAGACACTGGAAGCCAAAAGCTAAGGTTCCTAGCTTGGGGCAATCAAGAGCTAAAGTCCCAGCTGCTGGAGGGGGGTGGGGGGGAGAATGTGAACTCAGGACACACACTCCTTTTTCTAACTTCCTAAGCCTAGGGCTGTCACCTGTCACCCAGCTGTGGCGCTAAGCTCCTCCTGCCCCCTTCCCCCTACATACATACACACACAGGACAAAAAGAACAGATGTTGAATTTGAACTGTAAGCAGGACCAAAGCTAAAAGGGGAGAAGGAAGGAGTGTTTGTAAAGGAGTTGCTCCTATGAGAACCCCACTAAGAAAAGTATTGAAGCTCTATCCAGAATAAGGCTATCTCTAACTTCTGTCATAAGATATTTCTAGGAACTATGGTTTCATAATTTAGTTTAGTACAGAGAAAATATAATCAAGACCAAAAGTCTTTTAAAATACTGGCGGAAGGTCTGTGAGATAAACAGTGTATTAGAAGTCGGTAAAGCGCTTGACTAACACGCGCTAACTCCAGCTCAAGTGCCCGAACCCTATATGACGTCCCAGCCCCTCCAAGAATAATCCCAGAGTAAGAAGACTCAGGAGTAAGTACTGATCAATTCTGGGTGTGACTCCAAAACAAACAAAAAACCTGGCAGGTCCTATACCTATACAGACCTTACGGGTGATTTTGAACTTGGGTGAGAGAGGATGTCTTTCCCATTTGGATCTATTTTATAAGTTTGATCCATATTAGGCCTTCAAGGCAAAAGAATCCTCAATGGCTGCCCATAAATCCTGCAAGTGGAGACTTCTATATACTCAACAGAAAAGGTTCAAGAAATACTTAAGGGGCTGGAGCGATAGCACAGCAGGTAGGGCGTTTGCCTTGCACGCTGCCGACCCGGGTTCGATTCCCAGCATCCCATATGGTCCCCCGAGCACTGCCAGGAGTAATTCCTGAGTGAATGAGCCAGGAGAAACCCCTGTGTATCACCGGGTGTGACCCAAAAACAAAAAAAAAAAAGAAAGAAATACTTAAATCTCACATGGGGAACTCACCTTCTGCAGTCTGGCCACCTTCTCGTAGCATCCTTCCAACTCCTGCCGCAAGTTCCGGTTCTCATCTGAGAGGATTTCAACCATCTGCTGTGCTCTGGAAACAATGGCAAAAGGGTCTGCTGGCATTGGCTGATAAGAAGCAGACTGCTGAGCTCGAGGCATAGCTGAATAGGCTTCTCCTGGCTGGTGCTGTTGCTGTTGCTGGGGATGGTGGTGGGGATGGTGCTGCTGCTGCTGCTGCTGTTGCTGCTGACTCAGTCCAGGCTGGGTGAGGCGGTAATGATCACTCTGGTGAGGCTGATTAGGAAGGAAATGCTGCTGTGGCCTGGACAAGTGAGCTGCGTGGTCTCCTGGGTTTGGGACCAAGGGATGTTGGGCAGGAGATAATCTCGTGGATGGTGGAGACTGCAGCAAGGGCAAGGAACCCCCAGATGTGAGGGAAGAAGTGGGGCTGTGAGGCTGAGAGTTCCTGGCTGACAGTGGCAGTGAGATGTCTTGCGCCCTGTAAAACATGAAGGGCACACTCAGATTAAACACTTTCCAACAGCAGTGATAGAGAAAGCCACAAGATAAGTAAAGTGAGATTTCTGGAACCCACAAGATGCCTGCAAAATGAGGATCAGGCAGAGTTACATGGGATCAAACCCAGGGCTTCGCACATGTGCTGCATGTGCTCTATCACTGAGCCACATCCCTCAGCTCTCACCCTCTTATTTGGAACGAAACTTCCTCTGACATTCTGATTCGTCCTTTTCTGTCACTAGACAGACAGGGAGCAAACTCAGGTATTGGGAAAGCAAGTCACACGACAAATATTACAGCAAGTTAATAGTGATGCCAGGGTAGAAGCTTTGAATCCTAATTGCCATTTCTGGATTTTTATTAACATAATGCATTGATTTTCATGCCCTGATATTCAGATCCCAAGTCTACTTCTTAGTCTAAGTTCAAGAAAGAGACTTATTAATGTGATTCTCCCATTTTTTGTTTTGGAGCCACATATCTAGTGCTCAGGGAAGTGCTACTGGATTGAACCGGGGGCTCCAGTATGCAAAGCAAATGCTCCAGCCCCTTGTGCTCCAGCCCCCTAGCCTTGACTTTCACATTCCAAACTCTCAGTCATCAAAGAAAAAGGTCACAGTATGGGAATGGATCACTTCTGTCACTACTGCCAGGAAGCCTTCTGTCAGCCTACTCTGAACATAAGAAAGCATGTTTTCCACTTTGTGGTCAGAACAACCTTCTTCCAGTAAACTGCCAAAATGGCCAGGAGAAAGGGAAAGAGAGGCCTCCACGCTATGGTTTCTAGTCCATTTAGAAAACATGGAGTTGTCCCTTTGGCCACATATCTAGAGATCTACAAGAAAAGTGATATTATAGACATAAAGGGATAAGGCACTGCTTAAAAAGGAATGCTTCACAATTGTAGCCAGAGCAAAACTGGAAGAGTTTTGCAGTTTTACAAAACAGGAGCGATAGCACAGCCGCACAGCAGTAGGGCGTTTGCCTTGCGCGCAGCCAGCCAGGCCGAGCCGAGTTTGATTCCTCCACCCCTCTCGGAGAGCCCGGCAAGCTACCAAGAGTATCTCGTCCGCACGGCAAACCCTGGCAAGCTACCCATGATGTATTCAATACACAGTAACAACAAGTCTCAAAATGGAGACGTTACTGGGCCCGCTCAAGCAAATCGATGAACAATGGGAGGACAGTGCTACAGTGCTACAAAACAGGAAGAATTTAAATATTATAGAGATTGTATATCTACAATATTATACAGCAGGATGTTGGCAATGTTATAAACAAAGAAGTAAAGGCTAAGATTCTTGTCAAGATAATTAATGTTCTTATTAAGCAAATAAAGCAGTCTAAGAGTTTGATAGCTCCCTAAAATAGGTGACAAAAAATGACCCAAAAAAGGGAAGCTGAAGTCTACCCCAAAACACAAAAGTAGTAATTTGAAAGAGAATGTTCTATGTTCATCTCAGTGTTTATAACAGTCAAGATATGGAAGCAACCCAAATGCCCAACTATGGATAAAGAGTTGAAGAATTGTGGTATATGTGCACAATGGAATACTATGCAGCTCTAAGAAAGGTCAAAATCATGCAATTTGCAACAATATGAATGAAACTAGAGAATATCATGCTGAGAAAAAAAGGAATATATACAGAATTATCTCTCTCCTATGTGGGTTACACAGGAAGGCAGAACAAAGGACCAAAGGTAACACAAGGGGAGAATTGACTCAGAGAACTGAATTTTGGGTAGAAGTTTGAAAAAATGGGGCATTGGGACTTTGGGAGAGGACGGTGGTGATGGTGTAGTGATGGAATTATGTACACCTGAAACTATTACTAATAATATTGTAAAACACAGTACCCCAATCAATAAATACGAATACATAAAATAAAATAAGATAATTAAAATCAAGGGGAAAATCCACGAAAAAGAAAACTAAAGAGAAACCTTCCAGGGTTCAGTTAAAACATTAGCTTGCTGTACCCACAGAAACCCACTTTGTGAAAACCAACGGAAGGAGCCAGTGCTGCTGCTGGAACCCATTCCCTAGGAATGCAGAGCCTGAGAAGTGAAAAAATAGAAGTGAGCTCTGGACTATGAAGAAAAAAGTATTTTTCACCTCCCGGCCATGCCCAACTAACCTCAGAATCTCCCACATCCTGTGGATGCTTGTCCTGATATTTCTCAATCCAAGAAAGATAAGATAGGTAAAACCATGAGTTTGGGAACCCTAAAGAGTCTGCAGGCCTTTTTTACTGATTACTAGCTCTGCAACCTTGCTCAGTTACCTAATCGGCACGCGCATGTTTCATTCCTGAGGTCACAAGTGACTTAGAAAAATAACTGGTTTTTCTCATTTTTGAACTCTATAGGAATTATAAATAGTCTCTTAACTACCTCCCAGTGAGATAAATTGACCCTGTTAGTGAGTTTACTTACAGGATATCCGTTTCATCTTTCTACTGAATTTCATAAAGCTCACGGTGGAACTGGGACAAATCACCAGGAGCAATGGACTTTTAACAGGCAAATGTGAAAGTACATGCATCCTACACACTGCAGTTATCAATATTGTTCATTTATCTATACCTCTAAGAGATTCTCATTATCACTACCTTTGTATATCTTCAAAAACATCTCAAACATTTGCTCAGAGGTGCTCAGTTCCATCTATGCCTCTGTACCAACATTCCTCCAATTTCATACATATGTCACTGTAATTGCCGAATATTGAAGAGAGCATGCAAACTACTGTAGACAAAAGAATTTACATGGTTCTCATGATTACAACCAGAAAGTTGCTACCACACATATCCTTTGTTTCCAAAAGCTCAGAGCACTCATCCAATAAAAAGCCTGGGAGTTATGTGTGTGAAAACTTATTTGGGTTAAGACTTTTTAGCAAAATTCCCACCCAGGGTAGAGAAACAGGCAGGACTTAAAAAAATTTTAAAAATTTATTATTTCGGCCAGAGAAATATTTCAGACAACTAAGCACATTGTTTGCATGCAGAAGGCATAGGTTCGATTCTTGGCATTTCATGGCACCTCCTGAACTCCTCCTAAGTACCACCATGTGCAGACCCTTGCACCCCCGCCCCCCCCCCCACACACCCCTCACACAAACTTCGCGTTCTCCAATTCAGCTCTCCAAATTTAAGGGAAAATGACCATACTGACTTAGAAGCCTAGAGACAGAATGTCTGTCTGACTTGGGCTTCCTCAGGGCAGCTATCTCAAACCCCATCAGCAACCCATATCCCTCTTTCTAACAAACTCTGTCACTAGCCTCCTCCCCACCCGGAGGCTGAAAGGCTCCTTCAAAAACATGGGAAAGGACACAGCCTCCAAAGATCTCAGCAGAAGGAGATTCTACTTGGATCAAACCTAAACAGCAGTGACTTCGACTATGAATCTGGACTCTGCCTAGGAGTAACTGGAGATAAGGCAGCTGCCTCTCCAGTCACACAGGCTGGAAAAGGAAGCAGATTTCTGTGCACTGAGATATTATGGAAAACAAGCAGTTTCATTTCTGGCAGCTCTGCAAACACAACGCAAGTCTTGGGCAGTTGCAAAAGGAAAGAAAGTCCTGCAGCCAAAAAACTCCATTTGGACTGCAGCATCCACGCACCACACCAGAGCAGGGCAATATTAACAGGGCCATGGTGTGTCCGGCCCCCCTCCTTCAAAGAGGGGGCAGGAGCCAGGTGGGGATGGGGGAGGGAAGGTCACGTTAGAGAAGCAAAAGTCACCACGTGCAGTAATAGTAATAAGAAGGTGGAAGCTGAGTGAGCAACACGATCCCTGGTCTTTCACTGCGCACTGACACATTAACCTGAACAACAAGCCTCCAGCAGACAATAGAATCACATGGTCCCATGGAAGCCCTGGCCTGCCTCCCTGCCCTTTTCTCCCTCCATCCCTTCTTCTTCCTCAGCAACCCACGTCCCCCGTCCCCCTTACGCTCTGCAGAAACGGGGACATGGCAGACATGAAGAAAAGAGGCCAGTGACCTAAATCAGCGTTCCCCACGCACCCCCCATACCCGGGGAGAATCCAGCACAGGCACAGTGCAAAAGGACACAAAGGGAAAGCGAAAGCCAGTCCCGTCCCATAGGCTGACACAGCACCTTTAACTCCACCACCTCGATGATTAGGCACACTCCCATAGCTTCCCACCCACTCTCCACACTCCTGGCCCACACAGGCAGCTCACGCACCCACCACCGTGTACACACACACACACTCTCTTACCAGAGCAGGTGCCAACAACGGCTTGGAGCCTGATTTATTCTCCCACTGAAATTATGTCTTTTCCAGGTTCCGAGGCAGTGAATCTGGGAATCCTGGAGAGGGCTGCAAAGTCTTGATTGCTTCTCTTGCACAACTAGCCCTGCTCTCAACTAGAGTTAGGTCACCCTTTGCTTCCACTAAACAAGGGTTTCAAGAAACCTCAGATCTGGGCATGATTTCAACAACTGAAAGGAGGTGGCTGCTTTCTAAACAGAAAAAAGATTTACCATTTTTTTAAGCAGCTGATAAATGTAGAAACCAGGATGCAGAAAAGGCTTAGAATTTGGAGAAACAAAGAATCAGAAAAATTAAAATTCTTCAGATGGCTGGGCCTAGTTTCCCATCTGGAGTTCTGGGCACTCAGTATATTTATTTTTAAGCAGAGAGGAGGGCATAGGGAAGATGAAGTAATAAAAAGATTGTTTATAACATTTTGTTCATTTTAACAGCAAACCTCTAGCATTTCACTGCACCTCTGAAGGCAAACAAGATTTTTTGAACAATTTGTTCAAAGAACTTGCCTTGTATCCTGATCTATAATTTGTGGATTAAAGCTAAGAATTTAGTCTTCTGTTTGGCATAGCAGCAGTTACTTGGAAAGGTACTCACAAACTGTCTAGCTGGTTGGTTAAAGGAAACAAAGGAGGAAAAATGTGTCATTGCCTAAAAGCAGTGCACTTCCGGAAAGCAGTTCAACTACCTCCCAATGCCAGTAATTTGTCACTGAGTGCCACTCCCTCACCCAGGGCCCTGGAAAAATATTACTGCCAGAATTTGTCTGATGCAGATCCAACTTCACCATAGAGCAAGCATCTTCTGATTAGCACCATTTTAGGTTTGAATTTTTGAAGAACATATCAAGCACTCCCTTCCTCTTCCACACACCCACAAAAAAAGGGAGCAAACATGTGTATTAAAATAATGCTTAAGGGTGTGGGAAGATGGCTGCAAAGACTTCAGTGCCTGCTTTGCATGCTGGTACAGCAAGGTTTAAGTCCAACACACTGCAGGTCCTGAAATGGAGTAGCAGCCCCACCTCCTCTGCCAGCATTGAGCAGGGTGGGGCCCCAAAACAAACAAAAAACCCTGCTCAAGGGAAGGTAATCAAAATGGGCTCTCCTGCTCTTGGTGATAGAAAAGATCCAAAGATAATGTAGGACAAAGGAGAAAATGCCAGAATCTTCCTGCAAAATACATGCAGTTAAATGTCTCTGGTTACTTAATCAGGTTGAGAAGGAAAAAAAATCGGCTCCTTAGGATCCTTATTTATTTAGGCAGATCAAAGGGCTTTTCGATGTAGCTTCAAACACTGTGGGAGTTGTTTCAAATCACAAACAATGCTAGTGAATGAGTTCTGAAAATAGCTTTCCTGGGAAGGCAGTCCATGTGCTAAGTAGCGCTTGGATTCTGTTCTACATCCTAGCCAACACACTCCTCACCCACCAGGCAACAGACATTATTAGCCCATCCACCAAAGGGAAGGAGCTGCCACAGACTCTTCCATACTAATCACAAATCACACAATAAATCCATACTAATAAGAAGAGCAAAATCAAATTTCACCATTTCTAGGATATTTTGCTGCCTGGGATACCTTCCCAGTAAACTAAGCAATCCAACACTCCAAACCTTCCCTGGTCTTCTGTTTCATGGGCAGATGGGAACTGGGTTCTAGCTCTCATTTAATCTAGAAGAGCCCTGTCTCTTATCCCATTTTGTGAACCAAGCCACTTAACAAATTTTAGGCTTATGCCCTTTGAAAGTTGCACAGAGGGGGGTTGAAAATGTCTAGAAAACTGCCTGGGTTAAGGGGAAAAAAGCTGCACCAATGAAGTTAGGGGTGTAACACAAACCGAATTGCCTCTAGCTACAAAACAGGGCCTGTGGGGGGAAGGGGAGGAAATATTAGGAAAGTCCAGGTGCTTTCTCTTAGCTTCACCCTACAAATCCACCCACTCACTGCCTTTTTTTCAATGTCACTCAGTCAATTTCAAGCTAACAGACTTTTCTCAAATGACTGAGAAGAGACTACAGAAAGTGAGACATCAAAGAGATAATACCCTCCCCCCTAGGGCTATCTATGGATATCTAAGTCCAGGAACTTCAAACCTCATGGTCACTCATAAATACCCAAGATAATAAGAAAATGCCACACGCAGCATTATTTGTGCTTGGTTCAAAACTTTCCTTTACCACAAGTACTGAAATAAATTTCTGATCACAGACATTGCCACAGCAGTAACCAGAGGAACAGCCATCAGAATCAATTTGGTTAGTATAGTCATGGGATGACAGGCTCCAAGTATTTCAAGTAGTATATTTAGGGAAGAAAACTGGATATATAAAACAATCCACCTAAAGTAATGATAAATGAATGGTACGGAAGTTATAGGAATATTTCTTTCTCTGTGTATTTTTTCTGCATTTTAGCATCTGATAAAAATTTCTATTATATAATATGATATGAACTTAAATGTTTAAAACATGTCAAACATCTAACAAACTCTACAGAAGAAACATGAAGCAATCTAAATTCCATGAACTATAACCAAGTACATTCTATATACAACTATGACGAAGTGCAAGTAGGTGTGCATTTTATATCTCCCCTACAGTAGTATCTGAATGTTAAGTGTTCAAAAGAATCACAGTTATTGGTCAGAAACATAATAAAGTGAGTAGGGCACTGGCCTTGCATGTGACCAAACCGAATTCAATCCCGGGCACCACATAAGGTCCCGAGCACTGCCAAGAATGACCCCTGAGCACAGAGCCAGAAGTAAGGCCCTAGCAGCATCAGCTTATACCCAAGTAAACAAACAAAAGAACCACAGTTATTCTACAGGAAAGTATGTTGGCAAAAATCAGTGGCTAGAATTTTGCAGGGGAGGAAGAAAAGAATATTCCAGACTAAAGTCCAATAAATTTGCTTCTACTGCTCAAGGAAAGGCTTAGTTCCTAAGAGGAACACACTAAATCTTCTTCAGAATATATTAAGACACAGGACAACAAAGACTATTCTTAAATAGTTGTATTCCTGTTTATCCACTAGGTATTGAGACCATGCCCCACCTACAATATTAAGGGAATATTTAATATGGTGCTGACAGAAAATTTGCCAAGCCAGCCATCTATTGTAATGTCTGCAATTCAAAATACCTGCCCATTTCTTCCCCTAAGATTCCCAACAGCCAGCAGAAGCTGATTGGGGATGAGGTAACAGAAAGGGAACTCTCTTACCTGGCTGCTCCATATTCAGGGGGATGCTGATATCTCATCAGTTGACCCTCTGGTCTGCCTGGCTGGTTCAGACGATGCTCACTATAGAAGAGCCCTGGCTCTTGGGGCTTGTACACTAGAGACTGGGATGGCATGCTTTTGAAGGGATACTCTGGTGGGGGGCCTCGAAGCTCCATGCCTTTCATGGTATGCTGACTGGGAGGTGGTCCTTGGGTCTTGTAGAAGTCACTGGAACTTGTGGGATTCTTGTAGAGGTCATTGGGTTGTGGTGGGGAGAGGGGAGTGCTGGTAACAGGTGGATGGGCCTTAACTCCACTGGTGGCCAGTGACATCTGCATCAGTCGCTCACTCAAAGAGCGAACATGCCCTTGCTTAAGGTCTCTGAGTCCTTCATCCTGGTGCATCTTCCCAGGATTGAGTCGCTGAACTGAAGGGCGTCCCTCAGTCCTCATCTTCTGGTTAGTGACTCCAGTGACATAGAAGGCAGCTCCTACACTGGCATGCTGCTGGCCCCGAAAGTACTGGGACTGAACCTTGGCTTCTTCATAGGTCGGGAGTTCCTCATTATTCTGCATCCGAGGAGAAAGCTGCTTCTCCATGATGATGTTTTCTGACTGGATTTCCTGCCCCTGGGGTTCTTGTCGAGCAGCATGAGCCACAAGTTGTTGGTGGTGATCTTGGGGACTCAGCACATCATTCTGAGGGCCTGGGTTGCCACTGCCACTGGGGAAAGGTGGGCCATTCCCTGTGGCTTGCTGATGTATGGCAAGCAGGTTCCGATTTTCATTAGGATTGCCATAGCGGAGCTGCTCTTGTAGAAGACGCTGCAGTACTGTGGCTCCTCCACTTGGCTGTTCTTCAGAATTTCTCATCTCTATTGCTGGTGGTGCCTTGTGAAGAGAGAGAGAAATTGGGCACTTGGGCTGCCCTTGACCTGGGAAGGGGAAACAGGAAGCTTAACACCCAAATGATGGATAAATCAGTCCTCTACAGGAAAAGAATAGGTATCTGGGGGAGGGGGGGGGGGGAGAATTCCAGAGACAAAGTAAAGAATTGAATCAAGAATTAACAGATTAATTGTTGGAGATTCCTGGCCCCTGGATGAGGAACTTGGAGATATAAGAGCTCTGTTTCCTCTTTCACTTTTACCTTGGGTTTAATATTCAATCTTGACTTAACTCCTAAGAGGAGGGGAAACCCAGGACATTTTTCCTTGGTTCTTCCTCACAAAGCACATTTCTGTTTTCTGTTTAAGTGAAAAATACAATACATATGGCTGTCTGTGGTGAGGGGGACAGGGCAGTGGACAGGAGTTATTTCTGAGATAGAATTATAAAGTTCAGCATGTAAAGTGAGCTACAAATGCCAAATAAAACCAAAAAAGGTATTGAAAGCTTGACTTGCACTAGATAGAAATGATCCCCTTCTTGATGCAACTCATTTTTTCTGACCTCATAAAACTGAGCCACATATCTTCCTTAAAAATATCTTTGCATTGCACATTTGAATTGCTCCTTGGCGTAGTAAGAAAAGGGTTTGAGATAACTGTATGGACAAAATTTCTCTGCTGGTTATCCAGGAACAGTCACTGAGGTTGTTGTTGCTGGGGAAGAGAAGCATAAAGAGGATATCCTTCTGTAAGTTAAAAGTATGCCACCTCCAATAATGTTTAGGGTTTTTTTTTTAGAGGCAGGGGTGGAGCACATCTAGCAATGCTTGGGAGACCAAAACGATGCTGGGGATCAAAACCAGAGCTCCCTCCGTGGGAAGCATACACTCCAGCCCTCTGAGCCATCTCTTTGACTCAAAAACTTTAAAATGCAAAATAAAAGCACCCCTTCTAAGCAAGGGCATGAATGAATACCATACCCTCTCCACCATAACCACAATCATCACCAATTCTTCTTAAAGAAGTAATAACTGATTGAGTAAAAGTTAACCAGTAGTAAGTCATTTCCAAGGTTCAAATTCTAATCATATTATCGGTTCACAAGGTAACCTAAACAACTGACTTCTTTTTCCCATCTAGTAGCTGTTATCCCTTTCTCTCAATGCTCAATATAGACTGCGCACAAATTTATTAGAAGCACATAAAAATCTGTCTGTCTTGTTAAGTACTACAGTTCATGACTAACATACAGTGATGAAACTTTTACTCTAAGGATCTTAAGAACTGTTAGAGAATGGGATGTTACCACATAGTGAATTACAAAAAAGGTCAACATTCTTGACCTAATAGCCTCATGTTCCCAGATGAGAACCTTGACATCCTGGCTCCCAAGACCTGATTTATTTATATTTTCAGTATCTTCAAAGCACCCAAAAAATACAATCCCATTCCCTTTTGTCTTTCAGAAAATTGCCCAAAAGATGTACAGCAAATGAAAAAAAGGTCATCTTCTCTCCTTTGAAATCCTTACATGCTACCTAATTTGCAATTAGGGAAAAAAAGGCAGTTTGATGCCACAATTAACCTTCCAAGGTCCCTTTTAAAATTCTATTCATCATATGCTTTGGTCAAATATACATCAAAAGGTTACAAACAACCAGCCTCCTTACAAGTGACCTTCTAGGACTCTCAGACTTGAACTATCATATCGGAATTTTTTTAATAAGCTATCAAGAACAACATATAAAATCTCTTTGATGCCTGAAACTGGAAAGATGACTAATTTTCCTCTCTCAAAAACCTGAAACAAGGACATATATGATTAAGACAAAATAACTATAAACCCTTTCCACATAGCAGGGAAATCTAGACATTGTGCTACCCCAGACCCTGTAGTGCACACCATCCCCTCCCATCCCATTCCCATCCCACCCTACAGGTGCGTGCAAACACACATACATACACACAAGCGCACACACACAGGATGGTTCATACCTATTTCTGCTTTCTTTTAGGCTTAAAGCCTCAATCAGGATAGGGAATTCTTGCTTATGAGCAGCTCCAGAAACCGCAACGGCAGATTCCCTCTCCCCTAACACTCAGGTTCAGGGTAAGCGCCGCCAGATTCCAACCACTGGTCACTCTGAAATGTTCAGGAGGGGGAGGGAGGGAGAAATAAAAAGGTCGTTTCTATTTTGCCACCAACGGCCAAAAGTTAACCACACCAGTCCTTTCACGGAAATGACGTCATCCTCCCATGTGCTGGTCTTTATATGAGTTGTAAGGTCCATCTCCACTAGGGCACAAAGAAATCTCACTACCCATAAGCTATGTCCAGGTGATCATGCGGGTCTCCAGCATGGAAATGCTCCAGTCCAAGACTGGCAAAAACCACTCAGTTCTGGCCACACCAACTCTCAAATGTTACTCCCAACAATTCTGAATCTGAATGGGAGGGCATAGAGAATGCCATAGCTACGGTCATAATTCAGGTACAACCTTGAAACATAATAGCAGCAGGACGTGTGAGTAAGAAACCCACTGCCTCACATCCTAGAATGAAAAGCACACATCAGAAAGTAGGTTTGTGGATTACATGCAAAAACAAGAAGGCTCAGTGAAACTCCCAGTGAACTGCCTCAGCATCTGAAGGACAGAAGGAAACCAAAATGTTTTTTCAACCAAGTCATTAAGTACTTGTTGCCTACTGGTTATTCCAGGAATTTTCCAGCTTCATGCTAGGTTCAATTAGGGATAAAAATCCACACAATGGGGTCCAGAAATATAGCTCAATGGTAGAGCACATGCTTTGCAGGCTCTGGGTTCAATCCGCAGTGTACTCCCTGCCTCCTATGGAGAAAAAGCACAGCACATAGTTCCTGTCCTATAGCTTACAATCTGATTGTCAACCATCCATTCTTATTTAAGTAGCAATGGTGACTGCTCTCAGTAGAAAGCGGCAACTCTTCTCTGATGATAAAATGCCTCCACTTGCTATCTCAGCATTTTACTGACTCAGTATTTCAGCAAATGCAAACCACCACATTCATATTGTAGAGAATGGATATAAATGCGCACTAGACAGGGATTTGAATTCGTTCTCATTCCAACTACTGTTTGACTCTCTTTTGAAAAGCCCTGCAGTTTCAACCGAAATGGTTACAAAGCTGGGGCAGTTGTGTTTAGATGAGATACACATGATCCACATTCCTTATTTTCTCTCCTGGTTTAGCCATGAGTCACTACTAGCACATAAAGGAAAGGCTTTCATCCATACCAGAGACACCATTTGAGGAGGAAGACAATGCAAAAGCAGCACACAAGAGTCTCTGTATTTCGGGAGCAGGTCCAAAGCAGCCAAGTTTTTTAAAAAATCCACAAAACCGCAGTGATTAATTTAACATTATTTCCTTGCACAGTTGCCAAAAATAAAGTGAACAGATATAAAGTGAACATACACGGAAATTTGCCTTTCCACATTATTTTGACCAATGTACAATCACAGTCAAAAGCAAAATCATCTCCAGCCTTCAAGGCAATTATTTTGGGGTGTCTTCCTTAATTTTAAAGCAGAGAAACAACTACTAATTGGGGCTTAAAGGTACATTGTTAACAGAGCTCTGGTAAAAAAAAATTTACCTTGCTTCTATGGTCCAAATTGGGAACAAAACAGCTGTCTGTTCTGTTTTTTCACCGAAACATGCAGAAAAGAGCCCAAGACTTTTAAATCTGAGCCCCTGTCAAGTAACCACTACACAACTCTTCCAATACTACTTAGACTCTTCATGCTGATTTTCATTGGCTTCGTCCTGACATCCAGACTTCTCACCAAGAAATTTTTACTTGTGCAAAGTCTTACTCTCCTTTCTTCACTCTGTCCTCTTCTCCATACCATTTTCAAAATCCAAATCCCTATGTGCCCACTAGTCACAGATTGTCCCTGTCCACCAAGGTCTTTTTTTGTTTCTGTTTAAAGGGAAGGAGGAAAGAAATCAACCTAAGAAGAAAATTCGGCTCGATTCTTCTCCAGTTTATTCCTTCTTTTTCTTAAGAACATAGGCTCTGCTACACGAGTCAAGTAAAAAGGAAAACACTACTCCACACTTATTAGTGGAAGGAGAGGAAAATTCCTTGTCTCATGCACAAGCACTAAAATAGTATGAACTCCGCAACCTTTAATCTGCCCACAGCTTTAATCACACCTCTGCCAGGGGCCTGACATCATCTTCAATTTAGAAAAAAAAAAAGCGAAACACTTTGTTTCTTTTAAACAGACCGACTGTCCCTGAGGATAGTGGATAGGGGGAAAAGGATATCCATGGTCCTCTTTTTATAAAGGAATTTGAATTCACATATTTATTTCCAGGCTGAAGAGATAGTTCAAAGCGTTGGAACACAGCTTTGCATGAGGAGGCCCAAATTTGATCTCCAACACCACATGGTCCTCTGAGCACTAAAAAATAAAAATTAAACTGTATATGTATATATATATATGTATATGTATGTATGTTTGTATGTGTGTATTTTCCAACCTTTCTCTAACAACAGAGCAAAATTGTTACCCCACTTGCAGTTGTCTGTCTCTTTCAGTTTACCTAGAAGGCTGGGAGGCTAAACCAAAACACCTTAATAAGACCCCAGATGATTCCCAGCGCAAGTCCAGGAAATCAACAGTAAAAGGTGGCTGGAATTGACTGAATACCCACCTTCAAAACAACTGCAAAATATGTCTACTATAAAGTCTAGTTTCTGTAATTTCCTACTCCCATTCAGCTACTGCTCATCACTCCAACAAAGAGGATGAAGAATCAAAGAAACCTATTTCACTACTAAATCCTAGCAACGTGTTTCATGCCAGTGAACTCCACACTAAATAAAAAGAAAACAGATAAGAGTTTTCCCTGTATCGTTGTGTATCTATTTGTGCATACAAGCATGTACAAACACAACTTCTCACACATGAGAGGGGGCAAATGCCAACTGAATTCCCTCATGTTCAGTCAGCTGAAGCACTCTCCCAGAAACTGCTTTTTCCAAGAGTCTTTCAAACCTACTAGTATACTAATTCACTTGCACAGGAAGGTAAGAAATAATGGTACATTTGTAGGCTATCCCTAAGAATTTTTTAGGAGATGTCACAACCAGTGTTGATCATGTTATTCTGGGGATCAAACCAAGGAATTCTGATGTGCAAAGTATGCACTCTAGCCCTTTAAGAGAACTACGCAGCCCTGTTCCTAAATTTTTAATTTTTGGACAATACCTGTCTGTGCTCAGTACTTACTCCTAGCTCTATGCTCAGGGATCACTCCTGGTGGTACACCAGGCATCATGTTGGGTGCTGGGGATCAAACCCAGGCCAGCTGTAGTCAAAGCAAGCGTCCTGCTTACCATACTATTGAACTGGTCCCCAATACCTAAACCTTTAATACGTGATGGATAGACAAAATAAACATCAGACTTAAGAGTCTAAGACACATCTCAAATTCAAATCTGGCATCTGTGGATTACCTCATACGTGTCTCTTGATAAAATTAGTAATAATGATGTTGCTAGTGATTTTACTACTATCGTTATTTTTAAATTATTTCAAAATGATCTTTTTCTAGAAGGCTACAGTAGATTTTTGAAGTTAAGTTAGTATGCAAAACTCTATTTGCACGCTAGGGATGTGGTTCAACAGTAAGGAACATGCTTTGCATGCATTAGACCTGGGTTAGATCTCCAGTACTACAAAAAAGAGTCGGGAGGAGAGACAGCACAGCTGGTAGGGCTCTTGCCTTCCATGCAGCCAACATGGGCTCAATTCCTGGCACCCCATATGGTCCCATATTCCCATGAGTGATCCCTGAGTGCAAAGACTGCAGTAACTAACCCCTGAGCACCACCAGGTGTGACCCAAAAAAACAAAAAAAGAGAGAAGAGAGGAAAAGGAGGAGGAAGAAGAAAAGGTGGAGGAGGAGACAGAGAGAGGGAGAAGAAGAAGGAGAAGGAAGAGAATGAGAAGGAGGAAGAGAAAGAACTTTGTAACTGTCTTCTGAAGACAGGAATCCTTATCTACTAAGCAAAGGTCAAATCTAGAAAGACCCATGAGAAATGGTCTGGTGTTCTCACCCCCACCCCTCCATCTTTCTCTAGCCAAATATGCAAGAACTTAAAAGAGCTTGCTAAAATTAGGAAACAGAATGGAGATTTTATTATTCCTAAGGCAATATCCCTTCCACTGCAGTACTTTGCCCAGCACTGTTGGCATGTATATAGCACTGTAGCACTGGCGTCCTGTTGTTCATTGATTTGCTTGAGCGGGCACAGTAACATTGTTGAAACTTGTTGTTACCGTGTTTGGCATAGCAAATATGTCACGGGTAGCTTGCCAGGCTTTGCCATGCGGGCAAGATCCTCTCGATAGCTTGCCGGGCTCTCCGAGAGGACGAATTGAACTTGGGTCGGTCGGGTGGGATGGGTCGGCCACGTGCAAGGCAAATGCCCTACCCGTTGTGCTATCGTTCCAGCCTGGCATGTATATAGATGTTTAAAATGTTATTAGACTTAAGTTGACAGGTTTTAAGAGACAATAAACTTAGATTAATGGCAGCAACAATTTGCCAAATCTGCTGAAATAAAATGTGAATGGCATAAGGAAAATGTTAAGGAGAACAAAGGGATATGTTTAAGCTAGAAGTATGGCAGAAACAACTGAAAATTTGTCCATACAACAATATATGTAGGTAGATTGGAGAGTAATAATGAGCTCCCACTGATCAATGTTTCCATAACCCAGTTCTAAGTCTGTCAATATCATACAATATTGGCAGTTGGTTTCAAGTTGAGCACTAGCTTATTATTATTGTTGTTATTTTTTTTTGGTTTTTGGGGGGTCACACCCGTCGATGCACAGGGGTTACTCCTGGCTCATGCACTCAGGAATTACTCCTGGTGGGGCTCAGAGGACCATATGGGATGCTGCGTGCAAGGCAAATGCCCTACCCACTGTCCTATCACTCCAGCCCCAAACACTAGCTTAAAGAAATAATTTAAGTTGGCCCCACTTCTTACCTCCTGTATCAACTCCAAATTAGGTTAAGAAATAATTTTAAGAACCATAGTTAAGACCATTTTTTAAATTTTGGGGGGGGGTC